AGTCCATGTTCATGTTCATAACAATAAGTCAATATCTTACAAGTCAATGGTCCTCCCATGGGACCCAATCCAATGGTCCTCTCACGGAACCTAGGCCTAAACAGTTAGCTTGTCGGAATGTGACAATCTGATCCCAAGCTATGTCGGAACGTGGCAACCGATCCAAAGTTACAAGTTATGTTGGAACGTGGCAACAGATTCAAGTTATATTACCGGAGCTTGGCAATCTAATTCCCAATCACACATCATAATCACAAACACAAGTACATAATCAAGATCATACAACAAGAAGTGATTCATGGCATACGAATTTTACATTATCCTCATTTACGATTAGGGTGATCAATAATGTAACATTATATTCGCGTACATACATGAATTACAGTGAAGCAATTACAAACTTATATCACACCAACATGAAAGCACAACCATTATTTACATCAAATCCAAGCTTGAATCCCCAAAGACACTTGGATCTTCCCTTATCAGATTCTTTCCGCTTGTTCTAAGTCTACAACAATTAATATACGCAAGGATCAACAATCAAAGATCTAATTTTTCAGATTATAACAAACCCAATAACCCTAGACCAAACCCAAGATCCTAATTCCCAAATTAAGGATTATTCCACCATAATTTTAGATCAAAACCCTTCCCCATGGAAATAACCCAAGAAAATAGGTTGTACGGATCGAAAAATGATTTCGACGAGTTAAAACCTTATCTTTAGCCTAAAAAATGGTGAAAATTATTAAGAACTTGTTTGGGGTCGCCTCCTAAGCCCTAAAAGTAAAAAAAAATATCAAATAGAGTTGTTTTAGGGTTTACTAGCGACTTTAAATCGCGTCTGGCTTGCTCCAGCGGACCCATTCTGCTTCAGCGACCAAAATGCCGCTACACAACCTCGATAGAGACAAAATGCACTCATTCACGAAAAGATTATTTTCTGGAGCTCTACTCATTCAAATTCGATTCCGTAATGTTCTACAAGTTCCTTATCATCTTATCTACCCGCTCATGTAATAAAATTCACAATTAGATCTCTCATTCATTATTAAATTTTCCTACACCTTAACGCCTCCAATATCATCCAAATCTGGATTAGGTTTTGATTATTCCAAGTTTCTACCAAAAAGTTTTCTGACCCCAATTCTTTCTTCATTGACTTTTTCATAACAAATGAATCAGGTCGTTACACTTAAATTAAAGAAAATCATAATTTTTTTAAAAAAGAAACAGGGGTTAATGACGGGGAAGAAGGAAAATGGTTTATTTAACTTGGGGAAGATGACAGAGGGAGAAGTACACTTTTTTTCGTAAAAATTTAAGGCTATCCTCTTTTCGCACACCTAAGAAGGTGTTCTCACCTCCTATGTCAGGTCAAGACTCAAGTTTGTAGTAAATTCACAAATAAAATGCTCAGCGAATGATAGGACACGTGTAAAATTGGAGTGTGTAGTTGAGATTTGGAATAAAATAAACAAATAAAATCTTTACATTAAACTTTATCTTTTTAAATTTTACATTATCTTATATTTTTTTTTATAAGATATACCTATATAGTTTGAGTAGATGCATGTTTGTAGATATGCCCTATATTGTTTTACTGTTAGGATGTCTCTTTAGGAAATCCATTGGCTACCATAGAATTAAAATTTAAACATTAATTAAAATTGTGACAAGCCATATGTATTAAATTCTTCTCTTTTTTTTGGAATCCATTAATTGAGACATATATCATTTTCCATAACCAATAAATCAAAGCCAAGTTCAGGATATCAAAAATGCTAGAAAAATTCTTTATAACTTTATTGTGATATGTTCACGTAACTGTGTATCCTTACCCCCTATGCTTTGATGCTTATCATCTTTAATTGCACCTCTTTTTCAATTACGTATCTTCAGTTGACATTCTATCATATACTTTTTTAAATCATAACTAGCTAGCTCTAGAAGGAAAAAAATAAATCAGTATATAAGTTTTTTTTAAGTGTTAAAAGTTATTTTTAACTTAAAAACATTTAAAATAAAACAATTTGCTCTTGTAGTTTTGCCACTTATTAAGCACTTTTACACTATGTTTGGATTATTGTTATCCATTGTATTCTATTGTATCGTTACTATATCTACAATGTTTGTTTTGATTGTTAGTAAAAACGTATTATATTGTATTGTTAAATTTCGTTATTGCGTAACAAAGAAAACCCCTATTTTATGAAACAACCAATTTGGTGTGTTCCCATTATTACTTAATTTCTTTTCCAATTATATTTACATAGTATTTCAAAATACTATTTTACCCTTTATCTTAATTATTTAAATCTAGTCAAACCTTCTACCCTAGAATAATTAGGATATTTTAGTAAAATTATAAATTACAATACAGTACGATACGATCAAACCAAACAATTAAAATGTTATTAAACAACAACAAACAATACAGTCTAGCTAAACATTGTATCTACCATACAATACAGTACAATAAAGTACAATACAATACAATACATTATGAAACAATGGGTAACAATGATCCAAATAAAATGTTAATTTGATCGGGTCATTTATGATTTTATTCATTAAATCTTTTATAATCTTCAAAAATGCTCTTTCTAAAACATGGAGTACTAACTTCGATTTACTTTTCTATTCTATTTCCGTTCTTCATATTTTCTTCTAATGCAAAAATACTTCTTAATTTATAATTTTATAAATAACTTCAAAGAACATTATAATTACTTTAATTATAAAATTGGCTTCTAACATCTAAAAGTAATTTTATATGCTTCATGTTATTTATTATTCCTTGCATTTTTTTTTGTTTTCCTCAATTCCTTTTGGGAGTTAAACTATATAAACTTTGACTAACTTTTGAGATATATCTTTTATCATAACTTATAATATCTTTTTTGTATAATTTTTAAATATCTAATATTTTATTTAGCTTGAAAAATTAGTTAAGTTAATTGTTAAAAAGTGTAATATAACAAAAACAAAATAACAAAAAACGAAGAGAGTATTTTTAATCAATTGTAGAAGTATGAATAAGTTTGGAATTTATTACTAGTGAAAATCGTTTTCATTTCATTTTACAAGCATATGCTCATCTCTTTAGAAATAGTTGACTACTACTTGTGGTGATGTCAGAAAAACTCTTCTTCTTAAGGGACAACCCAAATGGTTAAGAGACCACATATTAATTACTTAAAAGCTTTAAGTAATTAAAAGCCACATATTTCTTTAATTTTATTTGACAGTTTAATTTTATTTTTTTGCACTTTTATTCGTTATAATATAATATGAAAAGGCTAACTAACGTTCTTCTATTAGGTCAACTTGATTCCTGAATATACACATAATGTTTTGATATCGGAAAAATGTGTTAAATATATAATGTGTGAAATATATGAGAATTTTAATCGAAATTGATGTAATAATATCTAATTTTGAAAAGGATCTTTAGTTTACTACATTATTTAATAGTGTATTTTAAAAGGATAAGGCATATAAGTATTTCCTATATGATCGAAATTCGATAGACACACTTTAACTAAATTAAAGTCCTATTAACCGTGAACTTATTTTTATTTTTGTAATTTTACGCACATTTGTCTTACGTGGCACACTCCGTTACTCCACGCAAATAATGCCATAGGAGATATTTGGACGCCATCTAAGTAAAAAAGGTGCACAAAAATATCAAAAAAGATGGGTTCGGGGGGTGAGGTTGATATGACCTTAGTTTAGTTAAGGTGTGTCACTGAGATATCAGTCATAGTCTAAGGGGTACTTCTACCTTTTTCCGTATTTTAAAGGTATATATGTGCCCACGTGGACATCATAAATATTGCATCATTATAAATAGTAACGTGCCCATGTGAGTACATATATACCTTCAAAATACAGTATTAAATAGTCAGGGGGTAAAATGTCCTCCATAAAATTTAGTATCGTAACAACAATTTCAGTCAAAATTGAAATATTTTTCAGACCCTTTTCTCTTTGATATTATTAGATGGTCTTTCGATTACTGGTTAAGTTTTAATTCTAAGACCTTTTAGTGCGATTTCGTTTGGATCAACAAGTTCATTAACTATTGACTCTTGAATATGAATCATATGTTTTAATATTTATGCTTACTCTACCAATGAAAATTTCAAGAAATAGAGTTTAAACCTTATTTAATGTGCCAAGTCAAACATGAAATCAAATAATTGATTATGATTTAATAATTTGGTATTGGAAGCTAAACAACACATATAGAAGCTACACTACCAATACCAACCAAGGTAAAGCATAAAATATTTAATATATTTTAATACTCAATATTATTCTATAATCTTTTTCCAAGAGTGCCACTACATAACGTGGCAGTATGTAAGTGGGCGTAATATTAAATCCTAAAACTAGAGAAGTCTATAATATTGGTTATAGTTAGGATATGGAAGGAATAAATTCTACCACTAAGTCAGCGTTGTAGGGATACCTTTTGATAAAAAAAAAAAATTCGTCTTAGAGCTTCAATTAAATTTGAATCGCGTATTCAAAGCTCATAATTTGATGATGACGCTCTTAACATGCATGATTTGATCTATATTCATGGCTCAAACCCCAAGACATGATTAATTAAAAGTGACGTAATTTTACTAGTGCACCACGATCAATGTCGATGGACTTTTGATTCTTGCCACACTAGTAAGTAAAAGCATGACGTAGGTAAGTGGAATAGGTGTCATTTTCAAAATTAGGGCAAAGAGGAGAAAGGGGTCCATATATATAGTTCTTGGCTCTTGAAAATCTAAACCTACCATCAAATAGCAAAGAAATATAGAATTTTGCATATTATTATACCATGGCACAATCAAGAATCTAGAATCTATCCAAATATCTCAAAGAATTTTCACTTTTCCCCATCTCCTTTTTCTCAAAATACAATAAACTATTAAGATTATCCAAATCCCACCATCATCATGATCATTTCCCCCCCTATATAAATATCCCTTCATAACATCTCCATTGCCATCTCAAAACCAACTCTCTAGTCTCTAGCAAAATCCAACTTCAAGAAAAATAAACTAAACCCTATATATATAAACCAAAAATTCAAATCAAATTAAATAACAATCGCGATATGGAACGTGTAGTGAAAGTTGCATCACAAAAGGCAGTTGTGATATTTAGCAAGAGTTCATGTTGCATGTGTCATGCAATTAAGAGGTTATTTTACGAGCAAGGTGTTAGCCCTTTGATTTATGAACTTGATGAAGATATGAATGGACGCGATATGGAGAGATCTCTCCTCAGGTTAGGCTGTAGCCCGGCTGTACCAGCCGTGTTTATTGGTGGTCGATTTGTGGGATCAGCTAACACTGTTATGACACTTCATATCAATGGTTCACTCAAAAAGATGCTTAAAGATGCAGGAGCTTTATGGCTTTAGTCATGAGAAACCCTTTGCTTACATATATATATTTAAAAAAAACAAGGCCTTTCTTTTTTTTGGGCTCTTTAAATTTTGTACTTTATGTCAAACTTCTTCCTTCATGGCTTTTTATTTTTATATAATAAGCCATGATCTTTATGAGAAGAGTTAAATGTTGAATGCAATTTCTATTTAAAAAAATAGAAATGCAACAATGTTTTTTAAGTGTGTAGTACTATCTCTTTCACTCATCTTTTTATGAATATCTGTCTGTTTCAATTTGTTTGTCTTAATTCAATTTGACATAAAACTTAAATAAAAATATAAATAAAGAAAGAAATCATTCTTTTTAAAAAATACTAAAAAGAAAATGAGATCAAAACTTTTGAAATGGAGAAAATATTTGTTTAGCAAACTAACAAGAAAAGCAAAACAAACAAATGAGAACGAAGAGAGTTTACTTGGGCAAGTATATAATATAAAGTTATAAACAACACTATCCGACCATATTTAAAAGGTTATAGCACATAATGTTATTATTTTGGTATGTACAAATGATTAGACCAAAAGTTAAGCACTTAAACATTGTGTTAATTAACTAATAATTTTTGCAATGATTAATTAAGACAGTAATGTGAAGATTCGAAAGTGTGTCAAAAACTTGAAGTGACATCTCTCAAAATGAACATTTGTAACGTCATTCTGGTGAATGCACATATATTCTCCAAGATAACTAAGAAAAAGGCCACTTTTTAAGTTTATATTCTCACTGTCGTCCCATTAACATATTTAGAACCTTTTTTTTCTTTTTCTTTTGAGTATTTTCTTTGGATGACATAAGAAGACGTAAGAGGGTCACAAATGTCTTTAGCTTATATTATCAGGAATAAAATTAAAATGTGCTTAGTTAATAGTTTGGTCTAAAAATATTATGGGAATTTCATTAAGCTATCGATTATATGAAAATCCAATAATCTAGGAGCAAGTTTAGCGATCGATTAGCTAGGGATTATCGATAGCTAATTTCATGTTAATGGATGACATTTTTGTTAAGAATCTATTAGATGTTAGAAAACATTAATGGATGATTGATTTTCAAGGCTAATAGTATTGACTTAGGATTAACGGGTGCAATTTAGACAAACATCCATCACAAGAGATGATTTTAATCCATTCTTAATAATAATTTTATCATTCACGGAATCCACAAGTCGAACACCCATATGAGCAAGTGTATGAACATCACGAACCAACTCCTTCTTATCCTCCTCAACATTAGGGTTGAGCATAAATACCGAAAATCGAAATACTGTACCAAATTAAATTTTTTTGGTATTTCAATTTTGGTTTTTTAGTTTTTGGTTCGGTATTCGGTATATGTTTTTGTATTTTTCGATATTTTGGTTTGATTTTCGGTATGTAATTTTATGTTATTTGGTATTTCGATTTACCGAAATATATTATATTATAATATATATTTATATTATATTAATTATTAATATTAAATAATAAATATTATAATTTATGTAATGACCCGGAAGGTCATTTTTGGAAATTTTGAATATTTGCTTAACTTGAGTTAATTAATCGATATTTTATGGGCTAAAGTGATAATTTATTTAAGACCCTACACTCTTTAGCCTATATTAATTAAATATGTGGGTAAAACCTATCACTTTTAGTACTTAAATAATTTTAAAAAAAATAAGAAAAAGAAAAAAAGGGGGGGGGGGGGCGAAGGGTTTTCGGCATTGCGGCTACGAACTGCTCCAGGTATTTCTTCCCCCTGCATTAATTTCTTTAGTTGTTGCACACATATGTTTATATATAAGATTGAATGGTAGGAAGAAAGAGAATTAGCCAACCTTTAAATTTTAATTATAATATAATATTTTTGATGGTTGTAAAAAAAATTAAAATAATAATAATAACCTAATCATTGGCAATGATTGCCAAGATATGATCTAATATTTGTGTGTTTGACAAAATTTGGATGCAGATTATTAAATCTGCAATTTTTTTATTCTTTTTTTTCCATTTCGTAAAATCATCAACTTTAATATTTTCTTTTTTTTTAAATTTATTTTCTTTTCTTATTGTTCACATTATAAAAATAAAATATCATTAAATTGGGTTGTTGGAAGTGATTGGAAAGGAAAATATATATAAAAATTTGTATTTTGTGAAGTTGAGAATGTTTCAGTATAGTGACCTCTACTGATTAAGCCTTTGATTAGATGGAAGTATTGAAGAGTAAATTTATAGAAATATCCTTACTATTGTTAGCATATTATAATTTAAGTTTGTTATACTAAGATAGATAATTAATTGTTGGTGGATTATTAGAGTTGGTATTGAAGAAAAAAAAAGAGGGACTTAACCTTAAACTTGGAACTTGAAAAATATAAAAGTTGAAATGTTAGTTGGCATCAAGAATTAAGAACTTGATTATAAATTTTAGGTGAAATTTTAAGTCAAGATTAAACACACAAAAGTGTGAGTGTTGTTAGTTCTGAAACCTTATTGTGAATATATATACTTGCATAGATTGCATCGATTTGGAAGCTCAACGGAAAGGGAAGGCTCAAGTCCCAGAGTGATTATTCGAGTGGTTAAGGCAAGTGGATTTCTAAACTCTTGTTAAGCGTATGAAAATTCGTGTATTTCCTTGTGTGGTGTTGAGAACGATTTGGAAACTTGTTGCTTATTTCTTAGTGTTGTATTCCTTGCTGTAAATTGTGTTTTGTTATCAAAATGGTTTTCTCCTCATTTTCATTTGAGCATGTCAATTGCATTGTATCTGAGACATGATTGTGGTATAAGGATGTATCATTTCGAGGGTCGTATCGCGCGCCGCGATGGATGTTATATTTCGAGGGACGTATCACGTGCCGCGATGGTTACTATTATCGAGGGTCGTGTCATACGCCGTGACAGATGCATGGACAAATATGTCCCCATGGGTCCGGACTGAGAGACAGCGGGTGTTTATCGTTAAGAAAGACATGCATCATTATAATTGACATTGCATCTAATGGCATTGCACATTTTATTATTGATGAACTTGAACACGTATTTTGCTAATCTTATGATTGTTTCTCTGTGAAGCTTGTGACTGTTGAATATTGAGTTGAGAATGTGTAAACTGATAGAGTGTGGTAATTGAGTTGTGTGTTTGGTAAACTGTAAACTGTTAGGCTGTAGTGTGGAGGTTTAGATAGGGTGTAAGGAGTACCCGTATTTTGTTCACTTAACTTGTGTTTAGAGGTTGCTTGTTGGGTACCGCGTGGTTTGGTACTCACCCCTTGCGTCTACAAATTTTTGTAGGTTACGAGCCTGGATCTTCGTGACACCTGTCATTCTTTTTGTTTCCGAGGCATCTTGTGAAGGGTTGTGAGGTAGCTGCTTGTCATCTCAGCGGACTTTTCTACTCCAGTTTATGACTTTGTTTTTACTTGAAAGACAACTTCATTTTAGACTTCTATTTGTTTCAATTCTAATATTTACATTAGAGGCTTGTGCACGTGACAACCTGGTTTTGGGGATTGAATTAATATGACTTGGTTTCATACTAGAAATTGTTGTTGGATTGTCATTTACTTCCGCACTTTGTTAGATATTGAGTTTTAGGCTGACTTGTCTTGGTGGGATAAGACAAGTGCCATCACACCTATTTTTGGGTCGTGACAATTTAAAATAAAAAAGTAAAAAGTAAAAGACTTTTTGATGTAACTATTTTTAGCCCATTAAGTTGAAAAATCAAACAAAAAAATTTGTAATTTTTAAAAGCCCAACTAAGCAGGCCATTAAAAAAAATCAAAAATACAAAACCAAACCGAAATAATAAAAACTGAACCGAAATAATAAAAACCAAGTTCGATACACAATTTACAAAAACCAGAAAAAACTCGAAACCAAACCGAAATACCAAATGCCCACCCCTACGCAACGTGAGTGATCTTATTCATAAACAACCTATTGAGAACACCTACAACTACTTTGGCTTTGGTTAGATGGTATACAATGCTCACGTCATAGTCTTTCAACAACTCAAGTCATCTCCTCTTGTGAAGATTCAAGTCCTTTTGATTGAACATGTACGGAAGACTCTTATAGTCTGTAAATACACCCACGTGAACTCTATGCTTTTAAAATCTTCAAGGTGGACACTACTACTGCTAACTCGAAATCATTAGTAGGATAATTCTTCTCATGAATTTTGAGCTGCCTGGAAGCTTAACTTATAACCTTACCATGTTGCATCAACACACAACCAAGCCAATTCTGGAAGCATCACAATAAATTATGAGTCTAACTAAATCTTCAAGTAGAGTCAAAACTGGGGCTGAAGTAAGGCGAGTCTTCAACTCCTAAAATATCTTCTCACGAGCTTCGGACTAATGAAATTTGACCTTCTTCTGATACAATCTTGACAAAGGGAAACGATTTGTAGTAACAAGCTAAACCCAAAATACACTTAATATCTGAAGCAGAAAGTGGTCTAGGTCAGTTTTTAACTTCTTTGGTCTTTTGAGGATCAACCTGAACGCTTTCTTCAGAATCTATATGCCAAAGGAATTCTAATGATCTCAACCAGAATTTGCACTTGGTGAACTTAGAAAACAATTGGAGGTCCAGAAGAATCTGCAAGACAATCTTCAAATGACTTGCATGCTCATTCTCTCTCCAAGAATAAATAAGGTTATCATCTATGAAAATAGTGATGAATATATCTTAATACTATTTGAACACTCTATTCATCAAGTTCATAAAAGATGCAGATGCATTTGTTAGTCTAGAAGACATAACTATAAATCCGTAGTAATCATATCGAGTCCTAAAGGTTATCTTAGAAATTTTACAATCTTTGACTCTAAACTAATGAAAGTCTGATGTGGGGTCTATCTTTGAGAAGAGGTTTTCACCCTAAAGCTAGTTGAACAAGTCGTCAATATGAGATGCATATTCTTGATTGTAACCTATGGTCGCCATATATCTTTTTAATCGACACAGTCTTTTCTATTTACTATTATATCAATAATTAGTCATCATAATTATTATAATTACATAATAGTCCATCAATAATTCTTAAAATTTTAATGTAACTCAAAATCTTTCACAACCAAAAGTGTCGTGAGAAACATCCACACTAAACCCAATATAGGAGAACCAATTGTCTACTAATATGCAACAAACTAAATAGCTAAAAGTAACACTTCATCAAATTAAAGTCAAGAATACATATCAAAACCAATAACATGAAAAATATTGTAGAATTA